TCAACAAAACTATCTCATCTTTTTCAGAAGAATTGATTTGACTTGGAAATAAAACCATGTAACTTTCAAAAACATGTCTGTCCAAGTTAAGCAGATTTACTAATTCTTGTGTCAATTCCATATTGTTAACACTGAATTCATAAGAGCATTGTATAAATTTAAAAGCAGCTCTAAAATAAATAAATAAAAGCAGCTCTAAATTTCAAAATCAACAAAGTATTTTTCAAATTTCTCTTGTAGTTTTTTCATATAATTTAAATAAAACTCTTAATTATAGTTAAAATTTTCTGTCAGTTTATGTCAGAGGGATATATAATGTCAGTTACTGATTTGTATTTTTATGGAAATTTTTACTTTAAACATAGATTATTTTACCTATCTCACCAGGTCACAAATATGCCTTTCTTTTCTTTGGAGTTTCAGGTTTGACTCACTCATATACAGCATGAGATGAGAAACATAAATTACATTGCCCTTTTGTTTTTGTCCTTGATTTTTGAATGTTTAGCAAGTGTTTGTTTTGTTTCTTTAAAAAATCTTGGGTTCAGTTAAAAATTTTGGGTTGATTGGGTTATTGGAGTTATTATCTCCCATAATCACAGGCAATAAAAATTATAAATATGTAGATAGTACAGTAATTTATAAAACTCTTCATGACCCAACCAACAAGCACTGGCAAAAAACCAGAAAAATCATTAAATAAATTGTGTTCTTTTTTTAACCAGTTCCAAGAATTTATATTTCCATATGTATTCCAGGTGTTGTTTTTTTTTTATTTTTTTTTTTATTTTTTTATTTTTTTTTTCTTTGGTTGTTTTTTGTTGCACGTGGGCTTTCCCCAGTTGCACTGCTTGGGTTCTCGGGGTGGCTTCTGTTGCAGGGCCTGGGCTCCAGAGTGCGGGCTTAGTGGTGGTGTATGGGCATAGTTGCTCCCAGGCATGTGGAATCTTCCCAGACCAGGGATCAAACCCCTGTACCCAACATTGACAGGAGGATTCTTAACCCCTGGACCATGAGGGAAGTCCTCCAGATGTGTAACATCATATTCATGACACTCGTCATAGATTCTGCTCTAGAAAGTTGAGCAAAAGGAAACTGTTAGCAATTTTACAAATATTGAATCAATTGATGTTTGATATGTTAGGTCTCATATTCTATAGGCAATTGTTGGTTGCTTAATTGATGATCTTTCATTTTTAAAATAGCTTTTAAAATCTTTTCTCCATAATTTCTGATAAAATTTCCACAACTGAAATAATATATATTTTTACCATCTGTTTGTCTAAAAATGGTTTTCTTTTTTTGTGAGTGCAAGAAACCATTTTATAGCTGACCAAAGTTACAAGGTCAGACCTTTAAAAATATTTCTGGATATTTAATTTTGATTTGAGGTGACTAAAACTTCCTTAGTTCTTGTTTGTTGAGAGGAAACTGCTTGTCAGGTTTATTATGTTTATGTTGACAGTGTCTCTCAGTATTGTTTAGTTTACTTTCTTGAAGCTTTTAAAATGCATTGAAAAAAAAAAATGCATTGGACAACTTATTCCTGTTGTTCTGCTTAGTAAATTACATTTGGTATTCAATGTGAAATATGCAATATGCTTTAGTTCCGTCTGTCTGTTTTTTGGTATTATTTCAATAAGAGTACTATCTTGTGCACCTGCATTTGATTCAGCATCAGTATGACACATTTTTACATTAAAAATTTTGCTCATTATTTTTTAGCTAGAAAAATAATTATAATTAAGACAGAATAAGCAATTCAGATTAATAATCAATTACAGTTTACCCAGGGTGTCACTGTAATTTGTGCTGTTTGCATAAAATATTCAAACAAATCAATTAAATGTTGTATCAGTGCATAGAAAAAATTCATTCAAGCAGAATTTCCAATTTAAGATTGACTACACTGGTGATGTGATTATGTGTAGTGTCAAGAAAAATTGTACTGACAAGTTAAACAGGCAAGAAGACTTTACTTAAGACTGTTCCGACAGGGGAGAGAGGCTGAACTCAGGTGCTACTACTGAGGGGTTTGTAGCCAATGGGCAGGGTAAGGCAGTCAGGTAAAAAATTACTGAGAAAAACTTGGTTAGGTATTAAGGGTGGGAGTGTCAACAATTTGGTCAGGTTTCAAGGGTAGGGGGATTGTCTATAAACTGGTTTAGTAGGAGTTTTGCTAGTTGAGAAGGCTTAGAGGAGCCTGATTAAAGTTTGGTCAAGGAGGGAGTTCTTGTCAGTAATACTAGAAACAATAGAATCATTTGTGACAAAAGGGTTAAGTAAAAATGTAATCCTATCCAAACAATGAAGTTGTGTTTAATGGAATAATATGTTGCTTCAGTTAAAAAATTGTGTTTTTATCAGTTAAAAACCAGGGCTTCTCTTATAGTTCAGCTGGTAAAGAATCTGCCTGCAATGCAGGAGGTGCCGGTTGGATTCCTGGGTCAGGAAGATCCCCTGGAGAAGAAATAGGCTACCCACTCCTGTATTCTTGGGCTTTCCTGGTGACTCAGATGGTGAAGAATCTCCCTGTAATGCGGGAGACCTCAGTTTGATCCCTGGGTTGGGAAGATCCCCTGGAGGAGGGCATGGCAACCCCTGCAGTATTCTTGGCTGGAGAACCCCTGTGAACAGAGGAGCCTGGCGGGCTGTGGTCCCTGGAGTCCCAAAGAGTGGGACACGACTGAGCTACTGAGCACAGCAAGGCACAATTAAAATTCAATAAAATAAAAAAATTCAATCTCTTCATCCCATCAGCCACATTTAAAATGCTCAACAGATGGACTTCCCTGGTGGGCCAGTGGTTAAGACTGTGCTTCCACTGCAGCAGTTGTGGGTTTGATCCTTAATTGGGGAACCTAGCCCATGTGCTGCAGGGCCAAAAAAAAAAATTGCTCAATAGCTGGCTGTGGCTCATGGCTCCTGTAATTAGACAGTGGAGTTCTAGACCTTTTTGGAGTGTCATCACCTGTGTATTGACCTGCATTCTGTACCTAAATATGTATTTTCTGTACCCACAGAAATATTTAGGTTTGGGTGTTTTTGATAGCATAATGGAATTATATTGTATATATTTTTGTTTTACTTGATTTTTTTTACTTACCATTTATTTTGGAGCTTGTTTTGTGTCAATACATAGGAATCTGCCTCTTGCATTTTAGTGCTTTCCAGGGCTGACCATAGTATGGTTATACTTTAGTGACTTGTTCCCAACTGATTGTTCTTAGATTGCTCCCAGTACTATGCATCTGTAAGAAGGCCTTGTGTGTTTGAGTATTTTTCCAGGTAGATTCTGAGAAGTAAAATTACTGCAATTTAAAAAGTTTTTGCACATGTAAACTGTGAATAGATACTCTCAGATTGCCATCACAAAAGCCATTTTACAGTCCCGTGAACATTTCCTGAATAGTACTCTTTGTCCTGCACCTTCATCCACTCCTGACACTTTCAGTCATTAAGAATTTTGCCAGTCTTATGAATGAAAATCATTTTTGGTATACATTTCCTTGATAGTGAGATTGAATGGGTTTTCATGTTTCCATTAGCACTTCATTTCGTAACACAATATTTGTATTTAAAGACAGTATATATCCTGTGTTCTTGCTTTCCTTCAAGTAACTGATCAGGTGGTTGGAGCAGGTCAGTTTTCAGTTTGCTTCTCTATGGACCAGAATCATTTACATGACTATTTTCTGCAGTCTTACTCAGCAATAAAACTGCTCAAAAACAGTGAAAGGCTAGAGACCACTACAGAATCAGGTTACCCTCTAGAGTATGCCAGAAAACACCTAGCATCCTATAGTGCACTCAGCAATCTTTCACTTTTTTTCCTGACAAATAACATATTTAAAGCTTCTAGCACATTGTCTGGCTCAGAGTGAGAACTTAATAAATTTAATTCTCTTCCATTGAAAGAATGAAAAATAAAGTAATTGAAAATTTATGGCATTTCTGTAGAGCTGCAATTCTTTGGATAGGGTTCGTATCTAGATTTCTAGATTTGGGCTTCCCTGACAGTTCAGTATTTACCTTTGTTTTCCTTGGGTCTTTTTCAGTGCTTGGGAACATTATTATAGGTAGGTGTTCATTAATTGTTTGATTGAATGGAACTGTGTTGAAGTATGTTCTAATTCATTATCCTGTCTGGAAAAACGTGTATCAGGAGAAAATAGGCTTGTTTGTTTACTTTGTTATTTATCATGTTTTCAGACAGAGATTAGGAAATATATCCTAAACACACAAATGGATGGCCTTGCAGATGACTAGACTGACTGTTGCCTTTCACAGTCTAAATTGTGTGTCTGTAGCTAAACAGAAATCCTCCTTAGTACTAAGAGCCAATGTCATTTTGTTGTGTGCACTCTCAAGGCGTTATTATGCAGTTCTCTCTGTGAATTGTGTTTTCTACACATGGTAAAGCAGGCTAGCATATTCAATGTACGTTATAGCTGGAATAATCCATTGCTTGAAAAATAATTTTTATCTTCTTTTTAGATTTAGTGTTCAAATATTTTTTCATAAGTAACTGGGGAAAAAACACACGGTGGCTACTGTAGACTGTAGAATGAAGGAGAAGCTTAGCTTTACTGTGGAGTCTGAGCTGGGTGTAACCTAACTAGCTAGAGGATATGCGATTGCTGATTGACAGCAGGACCAGCATTAGGCAGATTTGTAAGAGAGAGCAGCAGCTCAGAAACCGTGATAAGGGCTCTGTTAGGAATCACTGCACTCACCACTCATATCTTTAGTTTTTTCATTTTTCTGCCTACTGGATTTGTAAACAAATAGCACAAAACAGTTCCTCTTTTGTTTTTATTAAAGTGATACTGCAATGCAGTTTCAGTCTATCAGCTAGGCAAACGTGTCGAAATTTGATATTCTCACTAAATTAGCCAGTTTTTAGCTGTGTTCCATGCTTATCTCTAGACCTTTGTGTATTAAATCCTATCTCGAGCTGTTCTCTTTATAAGCAAGTGTGTTTTGCTTGTGCCTTCCTGTCTTCAGTGAGAAGCTTTATGTAGGTCAGGCTTGGCTTAAGCAGATTTCCTGAACCTGCGTCAGCTTAAGCTGGAGGAATTTTAATAAACCCTCCCCTGTAGGCGTGGGCCTAAATGAGGCTAGCCTAGTTAAGCCTGATCTTTTTCTGTTTGTGAAAAGAGCTGAGCAGAGCTGAAAGCTGCATGGTGGTTTCAGAAACTGCCTACTTAATTTTGAAAAGAACAATGGTAGGAAAAGCTAGATCTTCCAATTTTACCTTATCTGAAAAGCTTGATTTGTTAAAGCTTGTGAAGCCATATGTTAAAATTCTGGAAGAACACACTAACAAACATTCAGTGATAGTGGAAAAGAATAGATGTTGGGATATCATAGCAGTTAACTATAATGCAATTGGAGTAGACCGCCCTCCTCGAACAGCGCAGGGCCTACGCACTCTTTACAAAAGGCTCAAAGAATATGCCAAACAGGAGCTATTGCAGCAAAAAGAGACCCAGTCAGATTTTAAAAGCAATATTTCTGAGCCAACCAAGAAAGTTATGGAGATGATTCCCCAGATTTCCAGTTTTTGCCTGGTAAGAGACAGAAACCACATACAAAGGTAAGCTTTATTTTATTTTGTTGTGGAAAATTATGGCGCCTCCTATCTATTGGGCTCTGGCTTAGTTGTGATAGAGATATGCATAGTAAACATCCCCACTACGGGAGCAGTGAATAGTGTCTTTGTTTTGCATTCTTAAACAAGAAAAGTGAGGCTATAAGGAATTTTTCTGCTGCATTTGATTTAAGCCACTGTTGATTGTCTTTCCTTCCCCCTTCCCTCCTTCTGTAGTTTCTAAAAAGTAAAGGTTAGGGAGGAATAAATGGGATGCAATTTGTGACATTACCTCATAAACTTTTTAAGCTTTAATATTAATTTGTTTAATTAGCTTCTGAGAGATACCTTTTTCTTATTTCACTTAAGATTACATTTCATTGGATTTTCAATTTTGTATAAAGTTAGCAGTTTCAGGAGAAATGGTACCCTCGCTTTATTATGAATTTTCACTGTCTACACTTACTAAATATTAATTGAGCTAAAAACCTAAAATGAACAATTAAGTAAACTTGTTAGTAGCACCACTGTGTATGTATATGTTAGGACAGTTTAAATTATTTTCTAATTTATGTTCAAAGAGACAAGGAAACACAGGAAAAGGTGTTAATGCCTAATTAGGGATTCAGATTATGTAGTAAAAGTTTTTGTTGCTTTCATATGTTAATGGTCTGTTCACTTTAAGCTCTCCCATAGTGTTTTGCAAGGGTATCAAAATACGAATTTTAATATGTCAGTAAGAGCACCTGGATTAGAAACAGGTTTTTGGTTGAATTTTGTGCTCTACATAACCACTTGGCTGGAAATCTTAAAAAACTATTATCTTACTGCTAATTCAGATTTTTAACCCCCAGCAGAAGATACAAATGGCAGCTTCATGCTTTTTCTGAATCATTTGGAATAATTTAAGCAAACCGTAAACTCTTTGCTAGTTGAGGAACCTCTCAAACTTAACTTTACAAAGTACTTTCCTGTTGGTGAAAGTCTTTATATAAGCAAAATGATTAATTACCTGTGAAATTCCTTTGAAGTTAGGGAAGAAATTGGAAAAACCTTTTTAGTCAAACATATTTTGATAGTTACTGGGATAGTATTTTTGAGCCAACTTCTTAACAATATACTTCTTATTTCTAGTTGATAGCATAGTGAAAGATAGTGCTAGTGGGAATCCAAGACATGGATACACACTACATTAATTCATGGGGTTACTGCTTAAACTGTTCACTGTGATGACAAATGATTAAATCCCAGTATGGTGAATGTCAAAAAAAATCCCCTTCACAGTGAGACTGCTTTATCCTCATTCAATTTTTTTTTACCTCTTTGAGCCATAAAGAACATTGGCTTTGCATTATAGGTATTAAACTACCTTTTGGCTGTAGGCTTTTATAATTTGAAAACTAAAACCAAATGTAGTTTTATTAAGTTGTGTATTTTAAAAATACAGTAATGTAGAAGAGGAGTAATATATAAGATACAAGTATCTGTTTATGTATATATGGTATATGTACACATACATACAATATATATACCTACACAGTCAGTCTTTTGGGACACCAACATTTCTCTGATAAATTGAGTTAATTGATTTACACATTTCTATACTACTGGATTTACACATTTCTATGCCTACTGTTGAAACAGTTTTTCAGTTTAAAGGTAAGAGTATCAGAAATATGCCACTTAAAACACTCATGTTAGCATGTCAGCTCTGCCACTCTCTATACTAGTATTTTCATGTTATTTATGTATTTAATATGCTTATTTGACATCATCTTGACTCTTAATTATCTTGGAAGCTTATAATTACAGTATTTTAATTATGCTTCTATATAAATATACCTCTTAATCTCATCAAACTCTCTCTACTTAATAAGGAAAATGTTACCACATATTTTATTTAACGTATTTAAAGATATGCAACTATTTCATAAGGCTATTTCTGCAACTTATATTGATTTATGTCTTTATTTTTGCCTCTCTTTAACATCAGGTTATATTTTGTGTTTTATAACCAATTTGATCCTCAGAATTCATATTCATAAATTTTAAAAGTCCTTTACTGTTTGATCATTTTTTGTGACTTTCTCTAAGTCATTTTTAGACTTTGTTATGCCTTATTCTGATGTTTTAAACTAAAATAGCATGGAATATTCCAGATATAAGGCATATTTTTAATTAACATGGGAATATATTGTCTATGTTTAATTGTCAGTCTTATAGTCTATTATACATACTAATTAGGAAAAGTAATTATGTGGGTTTTTAAAATTTCATTTGTAGCTGTTGTTTTAACTTTTTCTCACTCTAGGATTTAGAGATGTTAGTAAAAGCAAGTCTTACTAATTTAAATTACATTTTATTCCTTTTTTTGCTTTCAAATGTAAAATCACAAAGGCAACATTATAATTTATATAATCTATTATACAAATAGAATTTTCATAACATATTAAATATCTTATTTCATTTGTACCTCTTAGACAAATATCTGATATTTCTGGCAGTTTAATGCTATTAGTGACATACGGAGTTTAAATTCTTTTCCGTATGTTCTACTTGAACTTGTTCCAGCAGTTTAATCACCCATGTGGAATGCATTCTTACCTGTATTACTTATTTATGATTTATGAAATGTTCTTTCAGTAATGTTAAGTGTAGCATTTCCATTAATGTTCCAATAATCTCTTTCAGCTCTATAACTTTTAAGTTAGACAAAGACATATTTTTAAAAAAAACCTAGGAAACATGTATTCTTAATTCACAACTTAATGTTATACATGAAATTATTTAAAAACCAACAGAGTTTTAAGGAACATTGTGTTTTGTCATAACAAATATTGGTATATCAAAACTTAAATTATGCTAAAACTATAGTTGCCTCTAATAGGAATGCATATTTTATGGAAATTTCATGTAAATTTAATAAACTATCAATATATAGAGGTCATTAAAAATTGCATTAAAAACACCATTTCATTTATTCAGTCTTTCAACAGATGATGAGTACTTACTAGATTCCAAGTACAGTATGATGCCGGGTACTGATGATTCAGTGGTAGATGTAAACCCTTGCTCTTGTACATTTTACCTGGCCACTGGTTAAAAGACTTAAAGAGCACCTGAGTCGTGTGGTTCTGTATAGGCACGGGGGAAACACCACTGTATTTGAAATTGGAAAGTTAGGAGAACCCCCTGCTAGTGGAGCATACCCCAAATCATACACAATGTTGATTTTTTTGTGTGTGACAAATACAGAAATCAGTACCTCTCAGAGACTGCCTTGTGCTGTCCACTGGCCTTCCACTGTCCTCCTTCCAAAGTCATGGACCTCAGTGATTTTTAGATTAATCTGTTCAGGAGAGCAGAAATAGGAGGTCTAGGTCTACCATGTGGGGATAGTGAGGCCCAGAATGAATTAAATGACTCTTTACAGCATTTAAGAACCTCAGGCTTACAGGGACAATTGATATCTCTTTGAGAGTGTTACAACTGTCACTTCTTTTTTATTTACCTCCATAGCCGTGTTTAGTATTTGTAATTTACTGTTCTTTTAAGAGCCCAATTTTAAAGTTAAGGATAAGGGAGAGCCATATATATATATATATATATATATATGTATATATATATA